CCTTCCCAAGTTGTTTGTTTGCTCCACAATTTCAACGTCACCTTGTGACAGTATTTAGCACATATGAATGTTCACATATTCAGCAGGAAAGCATCATTATTGTAAACATCTTGAGGTCCATGTTTTATGATTGACTGAGATGCATCCGATTAGTAGCTTCATGTATCATGCATCTGGCAACTGACCAGAGCCTCATGCATCTTGCAACTGACCAGTAGCCTCATGTATCATGCAACCGACCAGTAGCCTCATGTATGCATCTTGCAACTGACCAGTAGCCTCATGTATCATGCAACTGACCAGTAGCCTCATGTATCATGCAACTGACCAGTAGCCTCATGTATCATGCATCTTGCAACTGACCAGTAGCCTCATGTATCACGATGCAACCGACCATGCAGATGCAAATATGGTTGAGTAACATAGACCTGAGAATTGACTGTTCTATTATTTTTGAGGGGTATTCTAGCTTAAGTACCGTCACTAGTTTTGTTGAGGTATAGACTGCTGGTTTGTGTAGTCTACGCTTTTTCTTTATACTTCGTCTAGGATGATGGTCTTCAGGACAGACTCTACCTGTGTCTTTACTACACTGTAACTGACATAATAAAAAAAAAATGCATGCCAGTTAACAAAAGCATGTCTTAAAATGATTTTAAGTACTGTGTACTTCAGTAAAAATCTTACTGTGGCAAAAATAGCCATAATAAATACCCAGAACAGCAGCACACATCATTATCAGAATGTTTGACCTTTCACTACCAAATGAAAATGGTATTAACAACTATTATCGAGCAGACATTGCGACAGTCTGTCGACGAATCTATTTCCGCTCTCTGACTGCTGATTGTCTGTGGCAGTTTGAGAAGGATAAGATTATAAAAAAAACATTTATTTGACGCACCTCCTCACGCTGACCGATGACTATCAGTGCAGTGTGTGCCACCTTTAATGCATTTCTGTATGGTGTAAAAAATTAAACAAAACTGTAAATTGTAGTGTCAATATTGGTAATCTGTACTACTGTATGTCTATATAAAAATTAGTAATTCAACAGAAATAGCACTTCCTGTGGGTCTCATGTGTGGTTGAAATACTCTATACTGTACTGTGGATGAAATATACTGTACTGCAGTCAAAATAGATTCAGACCATGGCAACTTAATAATTTTCTCTCTTAATGCAGTGTGCGGATTTATCCAAATTTTTTTGGCAACTTATTAAAGTAGAACCCCTATTAAGGGGACACCTTCGGGACCAGAAAAAGTGTCCCCTTAATAGGGGTGTCCCCTTAATAGGGGTATCACTTCAGGAGACACAATCCAAAAACTAAAATTGTCCCCTTAATAGGAGTTTTTGGCATGTTTTCATACAACCATGACATACATCTTGCAACTGATCAGACATGCATCATGCAACTGACCAGTAGCCTCATGCATCTTGCAACTGACCAGTAGCCTCATGTATCATGCATCTTGCAACTGACCAGACATGCATCTTGCAACTGACCAGACATGCATCTTGCAACTGACCAAACATGCATCTTGCAACTGACCAGACATGCATCTTGCAACTGACCAGACATGCATCTTGCAACTGACCAGTAGCCTCATGTATCATGCATCTGACCAGTAGCCTCATGTATCATGTAACTGACCAGTAGCCTCATGTATCATGCAACTGACCAGTAGCCTCATGTATCATGCAACTGACCAGTAGCCTCATGTATCATGCAACTGACCAGTAGCCTCATGTATCATGCATCTGACCAGTAGCCTCATGTATCATGTAACTGACCAGTAGCCTCATGTATCATGCAACTGACCAGTAGCTTCATGCATCTTGCAACTGACCAGTAGCCTCATGTATCATGCATCAGGCAACTGACAGACATGCATCTTGCAACTGACCAGTAGCCTCATGTATCATGATGCAACCGACCATGCAGATGCAAATATGGTTGAGTCACATAGACCTGAGAATTGACTGTTCTATTATTTTTGAGGGGTATTCTAGCTTAAGTACCGTCACTAGTTTTGTTGAGGTATAGACTGCTGGTTTGTGTAGTCTACGCTTTTTCTTTATACTTCGTCTAGGATGATGGTCTTCAGGACAGACTCTACCTGTGTCTTTACTACACCGTAACTGACATAATAAAAAAAAAAAATGCATGCCAGTTAACAAAAGCATGTCTTAAAACGATTGTAGTACTGTGTACTTCAGTAAAAGTCTTACTGTGGCAAAAATAGCCATAATAAATACCCAGAACAGCAGCACACATCATGTTTGACCTTTCACTACTATGAAAATGGTATTACAACTATTATCGAGCAAACATTGCAACAGTCTGTCGACAAATTTATTTCCGCTCTCTGACTGCTGATTGTCTGTGGCAGTTTGAGAAGGATACGATTGGATAAAAACATTTATTTGACGCACCTCCTCACGCTGGCCGGTGACTATCAGTGCAGTGTGTGCCACCTTAATGTATTTCTGTATGGTGTAAAAAATTAAACAAAACTGTAAATCGTAGATTTATTCAGATTTTCTGGCAACTTCTTAAAGTAGAACCCCTGTTATGGGGACACCTTCGGGACCAGAAAAAGTGTCCCATTAATAGGGGTGTCCCCTTAATATTGGTATTACTTCAGGAGACACAAACCAAAAACCAAAATTGTCCCCTTAATAGGAGTTTTTGGCATGTTTTCATACAACCATGACATACATTCTGTATAGTTTTATTTTTATTGACATAAGGAATCAGCTAAGTGGAATTAGAACTAATTTATAGCAACAATTTGCAGTGCAATGCACATACAATTAATTTTATAACATGAAATCAGCACAAATATTAAAACAATAGTTTTATATGTTGTTTGGTGCAGCGGGAACAGTATGGTTTTATGTAAATGTAGTCTTGGGATTTTTTAACAGTGATGATAAATTATGTTAAGTTACATATAATTTGTTTAACAAATAATATGTAATCCACCTAATTTAGGTTTTCTTTATCTTTAATGGAAAGGCATAGACTTATTTTCCACTATGTGTCTACCTGTGTTGTTGTTATGTGAAATCCTTAAAACATAGCTGAGATTCACTGAAAAATTGTCAAAAATAGAAAGGTTGATTGTTATTTACATGTCGGTTCACCATAAGTAAGGAGGTCGTTCATTCTTGTACCTGTATATTTTTCTTCTAAGAATTACTATGAAGAAGACAGTTGAGACAGATTTTATGCCACCAAAATCCTCCTCATAGCCCTCAGCTAAGCAGAAGCCCCAGGGGGGTCAGACACAGGCTTAGCAGTAGAGCCACAAACACACCCGGTAAGTTGATAGTAATCCACAAATTGCACTACTTGCACAGCCCACTGTGGTTGCAATGTGGCGTTCACACTACCACTGACTTGCTTCACTTAATAGTACTCCCAGCAGCACTAATAGCTAAGAAGTGTTTTAAGGAGGTTTCACACACAGCCACCTGCTGTAGATGAAAAACCTTTTGATTTTAATCACAGGCAGAGGCTTATGTATCTAGGGGTGTGCGGAGAAGGGTGTCACCCTATTAAAAATGTTTGAAGCAAAAAAAGTCAAGCTCAAGGTATATAAAGATCACCTCATGTCTCCTAATTATTGTGAGCTAGCACCTCCTCACTTAATGATCGAGCACTTCACCTTCAC